CACCTGGCTTCACCCCTCACCTGCCTTCACCCCTCACCTGGCTTCACCCCTCACCTGGCTTCACCCCTCACCTGCCTTCACCTCCCACCTGGCTTCACCCCTCACCTGCCTTCACCCCTCACCTGCCTTCACCCCCAACCTGCCTTCACCCCTCACCTGGCTTCACCCCTCACCTGCCTTCACCCCCCACCTGCCTTCACCCCTCACCTGCCTTCACCCCCACCTGCCTTCACCCCTCACCTGCCTTCACTCTCACCTGCCTTCACCCCCCACCTGCCTTCACCCCCAACCTGCCTTCACCCCTCACCTGCCTTCACCCCCCACCTGCCTTCACCTCCCACCTGGCTTCACCCCTCACCTGCCTTCACCCCTCACCTGCCTTCACCCCCCACCTGCCTTCGCTCTCACCTGCCTTCACCCCCCACCTGCCTTCACCCCTCACCTGCCTTCACCCCCCACCTGCCTTCACCCCTCACCTGCCTTCACCCCTCACCTGCCTTCACCCCCCACCTGCCTTCACCCCTCACCTGCCTTCACCCCCAACCTGCCTTCACCCCTCACCTGCCTTCACCCCCCACCTGCCTTCACCTCCCACCTGGCTTCACCCCTCACCTGCCTTCACCCCTCACCTGGCTTCACCCCTCACCTGGCTTCACCCCTTACCTGCCTTCACCTCCCACCTGGCTTCACCCCTCACCTGCCTTCACCCCTCACCTGCCTTCACCCCCAACCTGCCTTCACCCCTCACCTGGCTTCACCCCTCACCTGCCTTCACCCCCCACCTGCCTTCACGCCTCACCTGCCTTCACCCCCCACCTGCCTTCACCTCCCACCTGCCTTCACCCCTCACCTGCCTTCACCCCTCACCTGCCTTCACCCCTCACCTGCCTTCACCCCCCACCTGCCTTCACCCCTCACCTGCCTTCACCCCCCACCTGCCTTCACCCCTCACCTGCCTTCACTCTCACCTGCCTTCACCCCCCACCTGCCTTCACCCCCAACCTGCCTTCACCCCTCACCTGCCTTCACCCCCCACCTGCCTTCACCTCCCACCTGGCTTCACCCCTCACCTGCCTTCACCCCTCACCTGCCTTCACCCCCCACCTGCCTTCGCTCTCACCTGCCTTCACCCCCCACCTGCCTTCACCCCTCACCTGCCTTCACCCCCCACCTGCCTTCACCCCTCACCTGCCTTCACCCCTCACCTGCCTTCACCCCCCACCTGCCTTCACCCCTCACCTGCCTTCACCCCCAACCTGCCTTCACCCCTCACCTGCCTTCACCCCCCACCTGCCTTCACCTCCCACCTGGCTTCACCCCTCACCTGCCTTCACCCCTCACCTGGCTTCACCCCTCACCTGGCTTCACCCCTCACCTGCCTTCACCTCCCACCTGGCTTCACCCCTCACCTGCCTTCACCCCTCACCTGCCTTCACCCCCCACCTGCCTTCACCCCTCACCTGCCTTCACCCCCCACCTGCCTTCACTCTCACCTGCCTTCACCCCCCACCTGCCTTCACCCCCCACCTGCCTTCACCCCTCACCTGCCTTCACCCCTCACCTGCCTTCACCCCCCACCTGCCTTCACGCCTCACCTGCCTTCACCCCCCACCTGCCTTCACCTCCCACCTGCCTTCACCCCTCACCTGGCTTCACCCCCCACCTGGCTTCACCCCCCACCTGCCTTCACCCCTGACCTGCCTTCACCCCCCACCTGGCTTCACCCCTCACCTGGCTTCACCCCCCACCTGGCTTCACCCCTCACCTGGCTTCACCACTCACCTGCCTTCACCCCCCACCTGGCTTCACCCCTCACCTGCCTTCACCCCCCACCTGGCTTCACCCCCCACCTGGCTTCACCCCTCACCTGCCTTCACCCCCCACCTGGCTTCACCCCTCACCTGGCTTCACCCCCCACCTGCCTTCACCCCTCACCTGCCTTCACCCCCCACCTGCCTTCACCTCCCACCTGGCTTCACCCCTCACCTGCCTTCACCCCTCACCTGCCTTCACCCCCCACCTGCCTTCGCTCTCACCTGCCTTCACCCCCCACCTGCCTTCACCCCTCACCTGCCTTCACCCCCCACCTGCCTTCACCCCTCACCTGCCTTCACCCCTCACCTGCCTTCACCCCCCACCTGCCTTCACCCCTCACCTGCCTTCACCCCCAACCTGCCTTCACCCCTCACCTGCCTTCACCCCCACCTGCCTTCACCTCCCACCTGGCTTCACCCCTCACCTGCCTTCACCCCTCACCTGGCTTCACCCCTCACCTGGCTTCACCCCTTACCTGCCTTCACCTCCCACCTGGCTTCACCCCTCACCTGCCTTCACCCCTCACCTGCCTTCACCCCCAACCTGCCTTCACCCCTCACCTGGCTTCACCCCTCACCTGCCTTCACCCCCCACCTGCCTTCACGCCTCACCTGCCTTCACCCCCCACCTGCCTTCACCTCCCACCTGCCTTCACCCCTCACCTGCCTTCACCCCTCACCTGCCTTCACCCCTCACCTGCCTTCACCCCCCACCTGCCTTCACCCCTCACCTGCCTTCACCCCCCACCTGCCTTCACCCCTCACCTGCCTTCACTCTCACCTGCCTTCACCCCCCACCTGCCTTCACCCCCAACCTGCCTTCACCCCTCACCTGCCTTCACCCCCCACCTGCCTTCACCTCCCACCTGGCTTCACCCCTCACCTGCCTTCACCCCTCACCTGCCTTCACCCCCACCTGCCTTCACCCCTCACCTGCCTTCACCCCCAACCTGCCTTCACCCCTCACCTGCCTTCACCCCCCACCTGCCTTCACCTCCCACCTGGCTTCACCCCTCACCTGCCTTCACCCCTCACCTGGCTTCACCCCTCACCTGGCTTCACCCCTCACCTGCCTTCACCTCCCACCTGGCTTCACCCCTCACCTGCCTTCACCCCTCACCTGCCTTCACCCCCAACCTGCCTTCACCCCTCAACTGGCTTCACCCCTCACCTGGCTTCACCCCTCACCTGCCTTCACCTCCCACCTGGCTTCACCCCTCACCTGCCTTCACCCCTCACCTGCCTTCACCCCCCACCTGCCTTCACCCCTCACCTGCCTTCACCCCCCACCTGCCTTCACTCTCACCTGCCTTCACCCCCACCTGCCTTCACCCCCCACGTGCCTTCACCCCTCACCTGCCTTCACCCCTCACCTGCCTTCACCCCCCACCTGCCTTCACGCCTCACCTGCCTTCACCCCCCACCTGCCTTCACCTCCCACCTGCCTTCACCCCTCACCTGGCTTCACCCCCCACCTGGCTTCACCCCCCACCTGCCTTCACCCCTGACCTGCCTTCACCCCCCACCTGGCTTCACCCCTCACCTGGCTTCACCCCCCACCTGGCTTCACCCCTCACCTGGCTTCACCACTCACCTGCCTTCACCCCCCACCTGGCTTCACCCCTCACCTGCCTTCACCCCCCACCTGGCTTCACCCCCCACCTGGCTTCACCCCTCACCTGCCTTCACCCCCCACCTGGCTTCACCCCTCACCTGGCTTCACCCCCACCTGCCTTCACCCCTCACCTGCCTTCACCCCCCACCTGCCTTCACCCCTCACCTGCCTTCACCCCCCACCTGCCTTCACCTCCCACCTGCCTTCACCCCTCACCTGCCTTCACCCCTCACCTGGCTTCACCCCTCACCTGCCTTCACCTCGCACCTGGCTTCACCCCTCACCTGCCTTCACCCCTCACCTGCCTTCACCCCCCACCTGCCTTAACCCCCGACCTGCCTTCACTCTCACCTGCCTTCACCTCCCACCTGCCTTCACCCCTCACCTGCCTTCACCCCCAACCTGCCTTCACCCCTCACCTGCCTTCACCCCCCACCTGCCTTCACCTCCCACCTGGCTTCACCCCTCACCTGCCTTCACCCCTCACCTGGCTTCACCCCTCACCTGGCTTCACCCCTCACCTGCCTTCACCTCCCACCTGGCTTCACCCCTCACCTGCCTTCACCCCTCACCTGCCTTCACCCCCCACCTGCCTTCACCCCTCACCTGCCTTCACCCCCACCTGCCTTCACCTCCCACCTGCCTTCACCCCTCACCTGCCTTCACCCCTCACCTGCCTTCACCCCTCACCTGCCTTCACCTCGCACCTGGCTTCACCCCTCACCTGCCTTCACCCCTCACCTGCCTTCACCCCCCACCTGCCTTCACCCCTCACCTGCCTTCACGCCTCACCTGCCTTCACCCCCCACCTGCCTTCACGCCTCACCTGCCTTCACCCCCCACCTGCCTTCACCCCCCACCTGCCTTCACGCCTCACCTGCCTTCACCCCCCACTTGCCTTCACCTCCCACCTGCCTTCACCCCTCACCTGCCTTCACCCCTCACCTGGCTTCACCCCTCACCTGCCTTCACCTCGCACCTGGCTTCACCCCTCACCTGCCTTCACCCCTCACCTGCCTTCACCCCCCACCTGCCTTCACCCCCGACCTGCCTTCACTCTCACCTGCCTTCACCCCCCACCTGCCTTCACCCCTCACCTGCCTTCACCCCCCACCTGCCTTCACTCTCACCTGCCTTCACCCCCCACCTGCCTTCACCCCTCACCTGCCTTCACCCCTCACCTGCCTTCACTCTCACCTGCCTTCACCCCCCACCTGCCTTCACGCCTCACCTGCCTTCACCCCTCACCTGCCTTCACCCCCCACCTGGCTTCACCCCTCACCTGGCTTCACCCCCCACCTGGCTTCACCCCTCACCTGGCTTCACCACTCACCTGCCTTCACCCCCCACCTGGCTTCACCCCTCACCTGCCTTCACCCCCCACCTGGCTTCACCCCCCACCTGGCTTCACCCCTCACCTGCCTTCACCCCCCACCTGGCTTCACCCCTCACGTGGCTTCACCCCCCACCTGGCTTCACCCCTCACCTGGCTTCACCACTCACCTGCCTTCACCCCCCACCTGGCTTCACCCCTCACCTGGCTTCACCCCTCACCTGCCTTCCTCCCTCACCCGGCCTCAGTATTCAGCACCATCTCGATGTTGTCCTCCAGCGCTTTCACAGTCAGTTTCAGCATCTGAAGGGCCTCCATTACATCATGCCGCATGCCACCGCTGACACCCCCCCCTGCTGCCCCCACTCTCCTCCCCAGGCCAACCCCTTCATCCTCTCCTTCTGACCCCACTCTCCTCAATTCTGCCTCTTTCCGCCACTCCTTCTCCCTCCAAGCGATTTCCGTCTCCTTCCCGTCAATCACCTTCTCCCTCCTCTTAGCCTCCCTCTCCCTCGTCTCCACCGCCCCTATTCTCCTGATCACCTCCTCCTCCCACGACTGCACCTCTGCCTGCTGCTTCTGCAACGCCTTCACCTGTGCTTCTAGGGACAGCGGTACCCCCTCCCTCTCTCCAACCCCCTCCTCTCTTCCTCCCTCTCTTCTCCCTCCCTCCCTCTCCTTTCCCCCCTGCTCCACCCCTCCCCTGTGCATCTCACTGTCTCCCAATTCTAGTCCATGAGTCAAACCCGCTCTACTCCCCTGCCCCTCGCCCTGCTCGCCCTCCCGTTTCTGCCCCCCCTGCTCTTGCTGCTGCGGGCTCCCCGCCTTCCCTGCTATTCCATCCACCCTAACGTCCCCTGCCCCTTCTTCCCTACGCCCCCTTTCACCATCATCATCCGCTTGCGTTGGTTCTTCCTCTTCTTCTTTGTCTTCCCCTTTGCGTCCCTCCCTCCTCCCAACTGCCATATCCTGCCTTGGCCATGTGATGGGAGGGCCGAAGTGGCCGATGAGGGAAGAGACGGGAAGAGAGGGAGGCCGGGGTCCGGGGTGGAAGAGGGAAGGTAATGAGCACACGGGTGAGTGAGCAGTGAGCAGCAAGGGAGTGAGGACGAGCAGGAGCATGGACAGGGAACTGAAGAGGCATGATGCGTGGGGTACGTAGGGAGGGTAGGTGTCGGCAGAGGAGGCAATGTCATCCCTGGCTGCAGCAACGAGGCATGCGGCGGCACCTTACACGCACAGTGTCCCGCCCGCCTGCTAGAGAGGTTTAAGGGACTAAAAAAAACAGCTCAAACGCACAGTGTCCCATCCACTTGATGCAGCTCGCTAGGAGGGAAGATGGAGGAAGGAGGAGAGGGAGCAGCTGGTGGACGGCTGTCTGGTAGAGGAGAGGACAGCAAACAAGTTGACTTCTGAGTCGACTCGGCTCAAAAGACAGGTGCAGTGTCCAAGCCAGGCTGTGCAATGCCATTTTATGCGACTGCCATCATTGAGGCGTCCCCAAACAGCGGTGAAGGGAGGGGCGACTGCAAGCAACCTGCTGCAGCGCCCGAGGAGCGGAGTGAGTGGAGCCGGAAGAGGGTGGGGAGAGAAGGCGGTGGCTGGGTGGCACCGTGGCAGAGTACCAGTGCAGAGCCCATGCCAGCAGAAAGAACAGGAAGAGCAGGAGAGGCTACCACTACAACCTGCTGCAGCTTGTGAGGAGCAGAGCGAGTGGAGTTAGAGGCAGGAGAAGAGAGACAGGACAAGGGAGCAGGTGGTGGGGGGCAGGGTAGAGCACAGGTGCAGTTACTGATGCTCCTAACAGCAGTGGCAGCTTAGCAATTGGCTATTACCACGGTAGAACCCTGCTGTAGCCAGTGGAGCCAGTAAAGCCAGTGGAGCCAGTGGAGCCAGAGAACGAAACGCATATCACAGAGAGAGCAGGCAGTGGGGTGGGGTGGGGTGGGGTGGGGTGGGGTGGGGTGGGGTTGGCAGAGAGTACAGGTCCAGAGTCTTCCTATGTGATATCCGTGTGTAATGAGTCCATTTTTGAGTCGACCCAACCAATGAGGGACCTCGATCAGGAGGCGAAGGGAGCAGCTACTACTACAACCTGCTGTAGCTTGCGAGGGGCAGAGGAGCCGGTAGAGCTGGAGGCAGAGGGCGGAGAGAGAGGGCGGAGAGAGAGGGCAGAGAGAGAGGGCGGAGAGAGAGGGCGGAGAGAGGGCGGAGAGAGAGGGCGGAGAGAGAGGGTGGTGGGTGGCAGAGTAGTTACAGGTACAGAGAATATCTTATTCGGCAGGCACCTGAAAAGGGAAGAGGAGAAAGAGGAGGAAGAGGAGGAAGAGGAGGAAGAGGAGGAAGAGGAGGAAGAGGAGGAAGAGGAGGAAGAGGAGGAAGAGGAGCTACAACCTGCTGTAGCTTGCGAGGGGTGGAGGAGCGAGTGGAGCTGAAGGACGAGGGCTGAGAGAGCAGGCGGTGGGTGGCAGAGTACAGGTACAGTGTCCACGTCAGCAGGCCCAGCGCCACGACAAGCACCGCCGCCCATGATGACGTCACTGCCGCCCAGCGCTGCCGCCTGGAGGACTGGCGGCGGCGGGAGGGCCTCTTGGAAGGTGCTGGCGGGGGGTGCGGGGTGAGGAGTGGGGGATGGAGAGAGATGGTGAGGGGTGATGGTGAGGGGGAGATGGTGAGGGGGAGATGGTGAGGGGTGATGGTGAGGGGGAGATGGTGAGGGGGAGATGGTGAGGGGGAGATGGTGAGGGGGAGATGGTGAGGGGGAGATGGTGAGAGGAGAGGAGGGACAGTGCGCATTGAGTCAGGGGGCATTGAGTCAGGGGGCATTGAGTCAGCGCTGCTCAACGCTGCTCAACGCGTATCTGTCAACGCTGCTCAACGCCTGCTCAACGGGGCATTCATGGGAGTTAACGCGGATCAACGGCTGTCAACGCGGATCGGCGGCTTTCAACGCTGCTCGGCGGCTGTCAACGCTGCTCGGCGGCTGTCAACGCTGCTCGGCGGCTGTCAACGCGGCTCGGCGGCTGTCAACGCTGCTTGGCGGCTGTCAACGCTGCTCGGCGGCTGTCAACCCTGCTCGGCGGCTGTCAACATGCTGCCAGTTGTGTCAAGACGAATTGAACGACTCAAGGGGAATCGAACGGCGCAAGGCGAATTGAACGACTCGAAGCAAATCGAGCGGCTCAAGGCCTCCGTTTCAGCTAGCGCGTCGCGGGCGGTTGTGCTCGCAACTAGCGTCAAAACTAGCGTCACAGTTGCCGCCACACTTTAGACCACCAGCGTCTTAGTTAGCGTCACATGTCGCTTCTCTGTTCGCGTCTCAGTTAGCGTCACATGTCGCTTCTCTGTTCGCGTCTCAGTTAGCGTCACATGTCGCTGCTCTGTTCGCGTCTCAGTCAGCGTTGCGGTTGACGTCAAACTTTGTGGCCCATCTTTGCTTGACGGCTTGAAGTCGGCGGTAGAACGCGGCGACGGAGGATGCACCTGAGGGCTTGCACAAGGACCTAATTTGCCAGAGGAAACGACTGCACACCTATTCTCAGAGAAATTACTGCCCTACCTTCTCCCATAGGCGAGGCCTCCTTCTCCCCCCTTCTCAATGGCCACCTAGCCTTCCCTCATCTCCTGATCAACCTCTCATCCTCGCGGATTTCCAGGGAATGCTGGTAGCCGAAACGCGCCTTGCCTTCTGATGCAGACGGAGACGAGACAGACCTCGCGCGAGTGCAGCCAGTGTGGTCGGTAGCACCGTACTGAACCTGGGTTCATCACCCTGACTGTCACAGGGCGGACGAACATGTTATGGCTAAGCGTATCTGGTGTTACGGATTCTGTTTGTGTAACGACGCTGTAAGGAGTTACGATTCCTTACCGAGGCTCGCCTCAGAGAGTACGCGTGAAACATTCGCCTCCGCAGGCTCGGCCCTCAAGTCACGCGCCAACCAGCCCCGCCTACCTAATCGGCCCCCAACCTGAACCCTAGTCGCCCCGAACCCAATTTGACCCCAACGTCCTTGGCACTCTCAAGCCCTTGACTGGTCCAAACTTCGACATTCAACCCTGGTCAATCGCCCTATATATCCACTAGGCCTCATTTCCATCAACATTCTGTAATCACGTTCCCCTTATTGAATACTGCTCTACACTCTGAGTTATAATTCATAACAGCTGGTATCAGAGCTACATTCCTGCCCATTAGATTTCTGGTAGGGGAGCAGACCCTATCGAAGAAGGGGGCAGAAGGATGCTGATGACGAGCTGACGTCACGGAGATTGAGTATGCAGACGTTTCCGATGCTGGCGGATCTTGTTCGATGGACGTCTAGGGTTAGCCGATCCTCCCCTTCCACGAGCGTAGACGGAATTATCTTCTATCATAAAATGGGGACGTTTTCGCCGTAGTTTACTGGTATATTCGTTAGAAATTTCGTAAAATTTGGGCGTATTGACGGAGTATTTGGATTGGCTTCCGAAAAAAACGAAGGCTTCGTCGAGAGAAGAAAAGTGCACGAGAGTCCTTAGGCGGTCGAGAGTTGGTCGTCACGAGCGCGCGGGGTGGCGACAATGGCGGGACGTATCATGAAGCTGCATGGTGAATTGTAGCTGTGTCGCAGGTCCCGACGTTTCTGGCATGCTAGTTGCAGACGATGGACGGGACTTTCGAAACTATTTCGGCAATGGGCGGCCTCGACAAATTCGGCACGATACGATCGCACGAGGCACTGATGGGTGTGCAGTTGTGTGGGAGCACATGAGATTAACGACCTAGGCGCTGTTCACATGCGACGTCCATCTGGAGATAATGACGCTGCGCTGGAGTACAGCGTACTCAGCAATGGCAACTTTCCACGTGGGGAGGAGTTTTCGTAGACCACCGATTCACACCCCCACGATCAACAGAAACGGAGGCCACCACTCTCGGGTGTGTATTAAGTGTTTTCCACCGGGTCACCGAAAGCGTCAACTGCCTGGAGCTGAAGCAGTGGAAGAAGAACGACGTGAGTACTGAAGCTTAGTTAATGATAAGCGGCGTTCAGGCTGCTTCTCGCTCAGCTACGTCGCCCAAATATCACCATCCCCACCAGGAAACAGTGTCAATTTGTTATCGACCATGCCTGGCTAAATGAGGGGGGTGAACCTGCAAACTACACTATGCTGATGGATTGTTCCTGAATCTTGAAGAGCAACTGTAGCAGCGGAGTAGTGAATTTCATCAAGTGCCGAAAGAGAGTTTCCGAAGTTTTTTTGGTGTAGTTCGCCGAGTTTCCGATGGAGAAGGGAGATGTCCAACGGTTAATAGGTGAGCTCGTTAAAGCTCATCTGGCTAGAAGCGTGCGCACTCCTATCTCTGAGGACTCTCAGTTAGTTAAGCAACAGAGAAGCAGTTTTTGGGTAACATGCTGCAGCCGCGCGATGGGTGAACATCGGCACGGCCAGCTGGCGAGGGGTACCAGAGAAACTTTTGGAGAAGAGTTACTGCTGGAAGGTAGTCAGTGTTCCCGAAAATTTCTAAGTGCAGCGGAGCTTTCCGGAGTCGGCCCTGGTTAATGGGGCTACTTGTCAAGGTGCGAAAGCCTAGGACTACTTTTGGTGCCAGGGCGAGTGTGACGATGGGTGAACGTCGGCGCGCTACTAAACGTCAGGGTGTCGTAGTGGGGAAATATTTGAAATCTAACGGAGTAGCTGGTTAGGGGTACCAGAGAATTTATGGAGTTGTGAAACAGCTGCGCGGAGATCAACGGCGTATGATGCGCGTTGACCGTGATCGACAGCCAAAACATCATGCCGAGGCGGTGGACTCCATTGTTCCCAAATTAGAGGCTTCAATTCATGCGGGGGAGTTGCTAAAGGAAGTCGCAAAGCCTGGGTGTTTTACTGATAGCTATGAATCGAAGTTGCGGTATTTGCTAATGGTGGTTCCGACATTTTTGCTGGAGTTGTGCCCTCTATCTTCAGGGGTTCGAGCGACATCGATTGATATTCTCGGAATAATTTGGGTGCATGAAGGGGAAAGGAGAACAGCAGGTGTTTCGTCTCTTTCCAAATTTTCGGCGTGTACGGACAAAGAAGCTGATGCAGCTAGCGTCATTTGACCCTGAGTTCAGCTCGAGGATGTTTCATGGAGTGGGGTCCGTACAGGTTACATACCATCGCCATCGCCGTCAACCTTCGCTGCCACCCGCTACCGCCTCCCTTTTCACTTCGCCAATCTTTCGTTCGCTTGTGTAAACATGACCTGAATCCCCATACCGACAACCGACAGCAGCAGCATCGAATCGACAAGGTTTGGCAAATGGGAGCATGTGCAACGGTTGGAGCTGTGTTGATGCCAGCTTGCACACATTGTTTTACTCGTGAAGAATTTTTAAGCTCATGTGGGAGTCTTCTATAGCAGTAGTTGCGGCATTTCAAAACCTTCGAAGCAGTTTACCCTGAAGAAACTGTTACTTAAAGCAAATATGGATTCCTCATGGTTCGAGTTTAGTCGCTGGGATATATTTCCTCAAAGCTGAGTACCAGATTTCACGCAGCCGTGTTGGGTATTTCGACTACCCTATAGCATTCGGTTTACTGTATTTTTTACCTAGGATGTTGGGAGCTGTTTCTTCTTGGAGAGGGGGGGGGGGGGGAGTGCAGTTGTGTTCCCCCCCGGATGCCGGATGCCGGACCCGATGTCGTCCGTGACCCTAAACCCTAATGTTTTGGACAGCATCAAAAGCTTCCGGGCTCCTTTCTCCCCTGCCCGTTTTATCCTGCCCTTTGTGTCCATATACATACCCGAGCTTATGCTAACAGGGTAAATGCTCGTTCTTGATTGATTTTCAGGGGTTTTTTAGAGGCAGCCCTTAAAAAACAGAGTTCAAAATTTACTCTCCCGTTGGTTTTCAGGAGACTTTTGGGTGCCAGCCTTTTCGTCCGAGAGAAGTTTGAGGCTACCTGTAACCAGCCACCCCCCTCCCCCGAAAGAGAACTTTCTCCTCACCTCACGCGCGCTGCCCTGCCCATCTAGTCAGCTCGCGCGCCTCATCTTGCTCGTCCACTAGCCATTTCAGCCCCCCCAGTAATCTCGCCCCTCCTCCAGTCAGTTGGCCCCTCAGTTGGCCCCTCAGTTCGCTCGCTGTTTCCATCCGAGACGTGAGTGAGGTTGGTGTGATGTGAGTTCTTGGCTAGCGTACCTCTAAACCTTTTTGAGACATTGCATGCATTAATAACTTGAATTTTATGGACACTTCATAAGTGCGATTTGTAATGTAACATTGCTAGATAGATAAAAGAGCATTTTTAAAGGCACCTTGGATTTGGCCGAGCGGATCTGGTGCGAGCCCTTTTAGTAAGGACACGATTTGGCCGTGCCATTTTTTTTTTATTTTTTTTTTGGGTTTAGGGTTTTTTTTTTCGAGGGGCGCCCTAAACATACGAGCGGCGCACTGAACGTCTGAGCGACGCAGGAATCTAGCATAAGCCCTGATAAATTCCCCATTTCATCACTTGAGTTTATCTCGTCATTGCCCGTTCGGTCAGCAAAATAAGTTTTCGCCATTGCCCGTTCCATTCCGTTCTTCAACGACTCCAATCGATTACGATCGTTTTGACATGTCTCAGCCGTTGGATGGAGTTTTACCTCATCAAGTCTCGTCATCGTTGCGCTCATAAAGGTTCAACAAGATCGACCGCGATCGTTTGAGAATTCATACAAGAGGTGACAAATATGGCCCCGCTAACACACAAGGTTACTCCGTTAACACGAACCCCAACTGTTTCTTGGGATTTTATCGCAGCACCTGTAAGGAATTTTCCATTCCTTAGCAAGCTACACCGCTACCGCGTACACCGACCCCACACGGCACCGACATCAGCCCTAGCTTCAGCCCGAACACGTCGCACCGAACCATTCCTGTCACAGGATCGAATGTGTCGAGGAAAGGTTGCACTATCGATCAGTACAAGGCGCTTTTATACTTCCAGAGTACATCAGGTAACCAGGTTTATCTTATCCTAAAGAAATAGACCCTTCTAGAAGATAGAATCACCCTGCGTATAGCCACGCGAGGCTATTGGCTTTAAGGGATTACAGCAGGATTACGCTAGATAAAGCGCACCAATACATCCCAAGCCTGGTCGGGATATACTTATAATAGCAGGATAAACCAAAGGTTAATGGAAAATGGAGAATAGGAAACCAAATGAGATGAGATAAAAAGAGAAATGAAATAGGAAGGAAATAAGAAAAGGCCAAGTGGTGTAACGGGGTCGTACTCTCACACTTCCCCCCCTCAAAGCTGGGTGGTAGAAGTAACACCCTGCTTGACAAGGTAGTCATGCAGAGGACGACGGGCGTTACCCATGTCGGTTTCAGGTACCCAGCTGTCCTCAGAAGGATCATAACCCTTCCAACGGATGAGAAGCTCCACGGTGCCATTCCGACGACGGCGGTGTGCGAGCACGGACTCGACCTCGTACTCGGGTTCGTTCTGGACGAGGACGGGCGGTGGCGGCGGCGGTTGGCGTCCGGCAAAAATTGTGTTCGGGTCCCGATAGGGCTTCAGAAGTTGGACATGGAAGGCGTTGTGAATCTTCTAGGTAGCTGGCAGGCGTAAGCGGAAGGTAACAGGTGTGACCTGTGCTTCAACGAGAAAAGGCCCGCAGAAGCGAGGTCGAAGTTTAGATGGGAGGTGGCTGATGTCCAGGTTACGG